TATATATATATATATATACTTATATATATATATATATATTGCAACGATACATTGTTTCAAAGAAATTATTAGAAGTTATTACGATATTATAGTTTAACTTTGAAAGATTTTTCTATGTGTATATCAAGTTTAATGTAAAAACGTCGTCGAGTCTAATTAGTCTAACCAAATCTTTAATCAAATAATTACTCAGTGTTTTAATCACTTAATGGTGGATACTTTTGAAGAAAACAATCATAAAAGTGTTCATTTTCTTATTCACAAAAATTATATAAAACTAAGTGCATTTACAGTATACGTACTCATTTTTAATTTTTTGTTTAATTTTTAGCTTACATGTTCGATGAGTTTTGATTTCTAGTTTAAAATAAACTATCTCTAAACACATGACAAATAGTCTGGCATTGCCATCTGTTGCATAGATTGAGAAGTAAACATGATTCCTTGCATTAAAAATAGAGTGCTTTAATCATTTTGGCACGTTACTTTTGAATACACCAGACCGGAAATATCATGGGCACGAGAAGTGGGGGAGAAACTTCACCCCGTCATTTTAACGGGAGAGAGAAGGAAGGGGTGTTAACAATTTCAAGCAAATGAAGGATCTACTTTTTTTGTTTCAGTACTAACAAAATTCTTTTCATACATTCTGCGCAATATGAAATGCTGTTGATGGAGTGAGACTTCGCCATGCGTCGATTGTCATTAATTTATGTGTTAAATTAGTTATCTAATATTATGGTACTTCATTTCGCTTTACTAAAATCACTATTTCAAATGTAAAGCTTATTTTTAAGTCTATTTGTAAAATTAGACGTAAGAATAAAAACATAATCCAACCAATCAATTAAAAGCTGTAATAATTTTTTTTACATCACAACTGTCATAATTGCTTTGAAATTATGTTCAATATTACGCACTCTCTCATTTAAGCAGTACAATTCCCTCCCCCCTTGTTTTAAACTTATTTAATGTGTGTCATCTCAAATGTTGATATTTTCAAAATAAGTGAGATAGGTTGGATTTTATAGTGATTCAAGTTAAGGTTATTTTTGCACTTAAAAAATGAATAAAAATTTCCCTTCACTTTTATAACCACAAATATGCCAAACAACGTTCATACATTTGTTGGTAGGAAGACTTTGCGATTTTGCGTATTTCATAGGTGAGAGAAATTGAAGCGCTCGAAATATGGACGCATTTCTTTTGGTGGAAATTTCAAACTGTCAAACCATTTTGATTATTTGATTCACTGCGATAGAAAGCTTTTTAAATTAGTTGGATTTTTATTCATTTATTTTATCCAATACTTCAAATAGAGAGTCTACCATTTTCTCACGATTCTACGTATCTCAATCGTTTAATCTTTCTTTACTTTCTTTCCCTAAATTGCTGGTAAACTCGACCGGTGTGTTTAACTCTCACATTATACACAATTAGCTCGTGATGGGAGACCTATATTATTTCGTACGTTTCAGTACGTAAGATTGCACATATGCCAATGCAAACAACCTTGTTACAAAATAAATAGATTATGCGAAAAAAATCGGAAAAAAAATTCAGTTTTTGCCGCTGGAAAGACAATTTTAAGCAAATTGATTAAGATTCTTAACAAGTTGTAAAAAATTTCTCAGTTGCAAGACGAGAGTTCCTTCAACGAATGATTGTTTTAAACAATTGTCTAAAAATGAATCAATTGTCTTAATCACAAGATTAATCCTTTTGATAAACTATTAATATCTTTATCGACTATCTTATGAATTTTATGTTCTTTCAATGAATGATAGTTGAAAACAATTGTCTGAAAATAAAGCATCGCATTGTTCATAATATTTTTAGTTAATCACAAGATTATTCCTACTGATAGACTACTTTTAATCGATACGTCAAATGTAATAACTTCAAAATAGAAGATATATATTTTTAAGAAAATAATTAAATTTAAAAAATTCCTTGCGTAAACTTTAAATTTACCCTTGAATTTAAATATGTTTTTTAAAAAAAATACATTATTGTATTCAAATAAATTATGACGAATTAAATTCATATCATCGAATCATTAATCAAATTCATATCATTTTTAAAGCGAGTACCACTTTTTGTGACTCTTTATTGGGTTTTTTTTTCTAGTGACATTTTCGTGATTATTTTTCAGAATATAAATTTGTCTCTTGAAAAATATATCTTGGATTGTAAAATATAAATAATCAAAAGATTTGGAATGCTTTCAGTTAAAAAATTGTTGTTGTTAACAGAAAAAATTCAGATGCATTTTAGTTATTTTCTAAAAGGGGGTATTTGCTATTAAATTGCAGGATGTAATAAGCCCAAGGGAATAAGTACCCCTAACGACCAGCAGTTGTTAAAAAAACTTACTGATTTGTTCAGCTATAAAAAGATAAGAAAAAAAAATTATGATTTTTGAACTGTTTAAAACTTAACTCATTTTATTTATATTATTCAGATTTGGTTTCTTAAAACAAATCTATTAATCTTTTCCATATAAATGTACTTTTTACTTAAATGTACTTTTTACTTTTCCATATAAATGTACTTTTTACTTTTTACTGTACTTTCGAAATAGTAGTTTTTTATTTGCATAAATTTAAGAGTATTTATAAAAAATATAAACACCTCATGCTTATAATGAGGTGGAATAAATGATTTATAATCCATTATTTATCATCTGAACTGTCATTTTTTTGCATTATTCAAAAACTAATTCGAGCTAAATTACAAACCTCAATAGTATTTTATAGATGCATATAAAAATTCATGTAACTTGATTCTAGAAAACTTCCTTAGGAGTAAAAATAATGAGATAGTAACTATAAAAAAATGCTAATCATTAAAACATATTTTATTGCACTGCAAGAGAAATATTAGAATTCCTTTTGAAAGTGCTTTCTTTTTTAATACTTTAAAGTGATAAATATTTCAAAAAAGCTCATAAAAATGAGGATTGAGGTGCGTATTCTGTAGATTCAAGTAATAAAATCGTTGACATAATTTAAATTTATTGTCAGATAACATGTTCTCACAAAATTTGCCATTTTGGTTAAGCTAGATTGCAATTACAAATTTTGCTTGCTAGAAAGTTGAAGAGTGCTTTTTAGAACGAAAAACAATTAATTATCATTCTTAATTGAGAATTTTAATACTCTAACAATAAAATAAAAACTTCAGCAGTACGTGCATAAAATATTTTAAATATTTTAAAAAGTGGCATTTATTAATCATTTTTACAATAACATTCACTTTCACGGTTTAAAAATATCTATTATAGCGATAATAATACTAAAATCTTAAATTTATAAATATAATTGGGTGATAATATAATCGTATCACCAAAAATATATGGTAATAAGACAATTAAATTATAAAAATAATTTTATTGTAAGATATAATATGAAAACTTACGCAGCGAAATATTATTAAAAAAACTGACCTACAATTTTAAATGTAATGAAGATTATTCAATCCATTTGTTGGTTTCCGTTTAAATTATTTTAATGAGCTGCATGGAACGAAAAACTTTTTCAAACGTGATTTCGCAATGTTTGACTTATTCTGAGTAAAGAGTTTTTTGTTAAAATTTCAAGTTTTTTCCGCAATCTATTCAATTCTCATTCTGTATTTTGCGGAATTGAAATTCTATTTATACGGAAAGAGAATTCCTATTTTTTCAGCATTCAAATTTAGATTTATCTTTAGTTTTCAAATTTTGTTTTAGCATTCAAATTTCTAATTTTCTTTGAGTGTTTAACTAAAGTACGTAATTAAATATACATGTATATTTAACTAAATGTGTCAGATAATCTGATATTTCCAAAATTTAAAATCATATATATATTTATATATNCGATAAATATATATATATATATATATATCCTTCACCAAATTGGCTTTTCTAGAGCACTCGTGAGCCAAAATAATTCAAATCGAGTGAATGCACTTACAATAATGTCTCTGTTTTTGAATGAATTCACTAACAATAATGTTTCTATTATAACCCTGAGAAAAAAAACTTACACAATCGAATTCAAAAACAAATGTACTACAAAGCGTTAAATAAATTATTTTAAAACTGCACACATTAAGAAGAAAATTAAACTATTTCTGAACCTAAAAAAATTATGTTTTCAGAATTCTTATAACACAAAATTACAGAGCGTTCTTTAAAACTATTCATACGAGTTGAACTGACTAATGGTAAAAGAATCATTTCAGAATCAAAAGTTTTGTGTATTCAAATTACAATTAATGATTAAAATAAATTGGAAACAGATGTTAAATTGCAAAACGAAATTAAGACTTCTCTTCGAAACTAAAAGTCAGTAATAGTATTTCAAACTTTGTGGTTATCAATTTAATTAAAGCGTTGAAGGTTTTAAAAAGAGTCTTGAGTGTAAAGGGCTTGTAAGTACTGTTTTCTTTCCAAAAAAAATTTATTTTTTTATTTGACTCTTGCACCCATTTGAAATCTATCTTTTTATGTGTGAAACATTTGTAAAATATAGATAAATTATTACTTATTAAATAAACTTTTTGCTTCGCAATAAAGGTTTTAGTTATTTATAAATAAATTAATAATTATTAAATAAAAAAAATTTTCAAAATAAAGATTGTGTATTCTTTTTTTTTCACTGCTGTTGTTATAAAACACGAAATTTTGAAAAAAAGGTTTTTCATATTTGAAATTAATTTTGCTAACAATACATAATACTGCCGATAAATTTACTAAAAAACTTTCAATATAAGACTTAAGATATTGTAATAACTAATATTTTAAGAATTGCAATAACTCAAAAAAAAAGTCAATTCGAATTCAAACGAATAGAAATTGGGCTCCAAGAAACATTTAGTATGAAAATATCTGAAACGAAAGATTCTATAATATTTTGATTTGACGATTTATATGTACATTTTTCTTTTCCTATTAGGAAATTTTGAACCATGTGGATTGCAAAATAGATTAGAAAACGGAAATATCGCAATTTCGACCTTTTTTTTACTCCGACATATTTTTTTCTCTCCCATACCAATTTCCCTGTGTTACATTAATATTAGAATTGGCGTTAATTCTGTGTATTTGACGACTTAATTTAGTTATTAAAATTCCGCATTTTAAAAAAAATAATAATAATTAACCAGTATCGTTAAAGTTTTGTACTTCACATACTTGTGAAGTTGAACGTGGCATAAAAATATACCTTGCTTTGTAATTGAATTTATTTACTATTATCAATAAATAATTACATCATATAGCATATTCAAAACGTTTATTTTTTTTAAAAACTACGTTGGCGAAAACTGTAAATTTGCTTCGGCGGTTTTTAATCTAAATTGGAATTATTTTATAATGTTCCAGAAATATTTCTATACATGCAATAATATTTTCAAAAACTAACATGTTCATTTCGCCTTATAAAATCGTTTTTAAATGAATTCTGTGGTGAGAAAAACTATAAACTTTTTAAATTGCTCGCCGGATAATATCAAACTAGCTGACATCATTAATAATGCTTAATTATTATTGACCAGGAAATCAAAATGTAAATGTTGAGCTTTAATTACTTTAAAGATATTATTTAAATATTTCAAGACATAGGTATTTTCAGAAAGTATGGCATCCATTCTTTCATTTGAAATGGTTTCAAATTATTAACGAGTGGTAAACCTAAGATTCTCATCATCCTCCTAAGACATTTTTCAAAAGTGATGCACTCGGTTTTTCAGTTTAGATGTACTTAGTTTATAAGTTAGGTGGTTTGTTTATAAGTTAGGCTTTACTTGAAAAGTGAACTTTTAAAATTTTTCATTTCATTGTTATTTTCAGTCTTACAAAATTATCAATTAGTTATTTATAATGTTAAAGTTTTCAATTAATTATTGTTACACTCTGTTTACATCGCAAATTAAGTGTCACTTGTTTTTTAGATTTTGCAAGTTTTTATCTAAAGTAAAGTCATTTTAATGACGTTCTATAAAAACTTCAAGACGCATATGTTTATTTTTCAGTTATATGACGCTCTCATTCATGGAAACGTCTTTTTTTTAAAAAAAAATTGCAAAAAATTCGCTAAGTGTCAGCCAAATAATATTAAATTTTCCAGATTGATTAATCTTTCATCCTCCCGCTGCTTTGCATCAAAAGAGTTNTTTTTTTTTTTTTTTTTTTTTTTTTTTTTTTTTTTTTTTTTTTTTTGAAAAAGAGAAGAAAAAAAGAATTTTTTTCTTGAATTAAGCAGTTTAGCGTTGTTTAAAATTAGCTCTCAAGATTTATAGAGAAAAAAAAATTTATATGCCATCAAAAACACGTGTTTTCTTCTTACATATAAGAGAAATACTATTTTCATTCTAAAACTTCCTTAAGGAATAAACAACTCGTGATGCGCAGAAACTCCAAACAGTTTCATTTCCTACGTAACCAACAGTGGACTGATCGTTAAGACACGGTTCCCAGCAGATCACCGAAGTCAAGCATCACTGACTGCGGTCAGGGTGCGGGTGGGTGACCACTTGGATCAGTCTGCTTTGGGACCGAGGGTGTGCGGTATTGGTCCTCGTTAAACTGTTCTACCGTAAAGTGCTCGACTTCACGTGCAGGTCGTCGGGCTACCGAAGCGGGGGTGCTATCCCCTCTGCAGAGGATCAAATTTGTGATGGCATGTCTTCGGATCATCCTCAGAGATGTTTCCCAGACCGTCGACAATAGCCCATTGTGCAGCTCTAGTGCATCGCAAATGAACTACAACAACCTACGTAACCAGTTACCTCAGTTTTCTTAGGCGGGAAAAAAGTTCTACCGATTATTTTTTGTAACGTGTTCTGTCTCTGTGTCAAGAAAAAGAAAAGTCCTAAATCCAGGCTTGGAAAGCAGTTTCGTCTGATGTTTGGTGAAATGATATATATATATATATATATATATTCCGTCCATTCAACGTATTTTTCTAGCGTAGGAGCAATTTGTTTAAAAGCAAAAATTAATCAGAGTGAATTGTGCTTTTTCTAGCAATACAGAACATTATACTCAGTGGCGTGCCAGCCGGGGGGGCAGAGGGGGCAGTCGCCCCCTCTGAAATTTTAGTGAGGNATATATATATATATATATATATCTTCCGTCCATTCAACGTATTTTTCTAGCTTAGGAACAATTTGTTTAAATGCAAAAATTAATCAGAGTGAATTGTTCTTTTTTTAGCAATACAGAACATTATACTTCTGCAGTGCAAGTAGAGATAGAAAAAATTTCCAACACTAATGCAAGTAATCAATTATTTAGTAGTAGTATTTTATTTACATAACACTAGAGCTGCACTTTAGGCTTTTGGCGGCAGTCTGAGAAACATGCTCGAGGATGATCTGCTGACTTGACCAGCAGTGCCGGGTTACCCATCAGGCCAAACCAGGCCTGGGGCCCGCAATAATTAAGGGTCTCCTTAAAATGGATTTTTTGAAAATGAATTTTAAAAAATTAAGAAAAACAATGATTTTTTTAAAAAAAAAAATCAATTTCAAATATATATTCAAATTTTTTTTAAATGTTATGATTATTTTTAGTTCCAATTTAACAAAATAAAGTAAAATTTAATTTATTAATATTTATTTTAATTTTAAATATGCTTTCTTAAATGAAAAGATATATATATACTTTTATAATTGAATAAATTAAAAATATACGAGAAAAACAACTTAATCGAAGGTCCCCCAAAATTTGAATGGACTGGGGCCCCGAGTACGTTTAATCCGGTACGCTTAATCTCTCCCACCCCTCTCTTTGATAAATCCAACGACTTGAACGCGACTTCGATCACTTCGCAATAAAACAGCTTAACGAGGAGCGAAAGCGCACACCTTTCGTCGCTTCTCGAATCGCCGTCTGTGATGCCTGACTTTGGTGTATGATCAGTCCACTGTGGGATCAATCTTCTTGTGAACGGTGTCTTAAAAGCATAATTTTTTTTTTTGAAGCGAATCAAGAAAGGAATTTCCTCAGAAATACACATTTCTAAGGTTCATGCGCGAGTTTAATTAACGCATGAGTGCGGTTATGCCGTGAGAAACCGTGCAAGTATTACGGCTACCGTGGTTAAAATTTAAAGAGGTTACAAGTAGTGACAATGATTCCTCCTTAGTTACAGTTGTTTGAATTCAAATTTTGTTATTGTTGTAGCAACTTTCGATTAATATTAGATTTTGGTAAAAGTTATTCTCCTCCGTCTTGAGTTAAAACTTGGTAATGTTTGTAGGAATGTAAAATTTTAATAATTTCATATATACTTTACTATTCATCATTCAGTTTAGAATTCTTAAACTAATTATATACATTTATTTTACTATTTATGGTGAGTTATAAATTCCGAATCAGTTTGTATTTCTGTGTTGAAATGCAAAGTTAATACACTATGGCTCATCTGAACATTGAAAGAGTGTCATTAGCTGCAAGAGATCGAGAAAAAGAAATTCAAAAAAGATATGCGCGCAAAAAAACTATCCTTGTTCTTATTGCTCAATATTTAGAAGAAAATGGATGCGTTAATGCTGCTGACGTTCTTAAAAGTGAATGTAATTTTAGTTTAAGTGACTCTTCTGTTTGCGACAATATTAGTTTAGACTCAATTTTGCAAGATTTTGAATCTTATTACTTTCTGAGATATCAAAAACTCCCTCAGATTATGAAAAAAGTTTGTAGTGAAGCAGCTATTTTAAATTCTAAAGCTTTTCGGTCAAAAAGTGCATCAAAACAATCAAGTTCAGCAAGGAAATTATTTTTTGAATCGACTGGATTATCCACTAAGCAATGCGATCCTGTTCTTGAGCGTGACAATTTGGATTCCAGTCATACTAACCAATGTTCTTCTAATTCAAATAACAGCTTTCCTTTATTGATGAAAAGATGTGGTAGTGAATGGCAACTATTAGCTGATTTAGTCATACAGGATATTGGTTCCACAAACAAAACTGTTTACTGGTCCGACATAGTTGGTCTTGAACGTGCCAAACAAGTTTTAAAAGAGGCTGTCATCTATCCCTTGAAGTTCAAAGATCTATTCATTTCAGACCTAAAGCCTTGGAAAAGTATACTTTTGTATGGGCCAACAGGTACTGGTAAAACATCACTCGCCGCTGCTGTTGCTACAGAAAGCAAAGCCGTATTTTTTAATGTATCAGCTTCAACACTCGTAAGCAAATGGCGTGGTGAATCTGAAAAACTTGTGAGAGTTTTATTTGAACTTGCAAAGCAATATTCCCCATCTGTAATATTCATTGATGAGATAGATTCTTTGATCAGTCATCGAGGTGCAGATCATGAAGCTAGCCGTCGAATGAAAACGGAATTTTTTTCTCAAATTGATTCTTTATTTAACAGTGACAAAAGCGTGTTTGTACTCGGAGCCACAAATATTCCTTGGGAGTTAGATCAAGCTGTCTTAAGAAGAATGGAGAAAAGATTGTTAATTCCGTTGCCAGATCTTGAAAATCGTATTCTTCTTTTTAGGAAATTTTTGCCGCCTGTGTTGCAACTTAATTGTGATATCGCGGTTGAATCGCAATTAAATTATGAATCACTCGCCTTACAGTCAGAAAATTTTTCGGCAACTGATATTGAACTGGTGTGCAGGGAAGCAAAAATGAATTTAATGCGAAAGGTGTTTCAAAAATTTGAAAATTCAATCTCCAAAATAAATCTAAATTGTGTGACCAAATGTGCAACCTTAAATATGTCTGATTTGTTAGTAGCTATTCATAACACAAGACCTAGTAATATTAATTTAGCAGAAAAATATTCTAGCTGGAAAGAAAACCATGGTTGTGAATAAAATTTTTTTGAGAGATTGAAAGATTATTATTAAATGTATACCTAATTATTTATTTTTATTATAAATATTTTCACTTCTAAGTATCATATTGGGTGTATTGTATTATATGTGTTATTTATACATGTAATTACATATGTTATAAATTTAAATTTGTATATACCGAATATCTATTAGTAATCAATATTAATTCGGCTGCAAATTATTGATTTTTTTTAAACTATATTTATTTCAATCCAGTATTTATGCATTATTATGGCCCCTAATAAGGTTTGGAGGTGATTTGAGTTATTAGACTTATTTATTAAGCTTTTTTTATTAAATAAACATCACTAAAAAAACATTTTAATTAAAAGTTTCATTTGGGAGCACTTCATGACTTTTTGTTGGCAACTTTTATTGCTTGCACTGGTAAAATGGAAAAGGAAATTAATTGATGGAAATAAACTAATTTGGGACTATTCATTATTATTACTTATTTTTTTGTTATACTAACTTTTAAAAAATATAAATAATATTGGTATTGCTATTGAATTATTATTTGTAGCTAACTTGCTATTTCTTAATCAGGGTTGGGTTTTTGACGTCAAAAAGTGGTTTTTGACATTGCAAGGGTATAATACTGGTTTAAACCGTCAAAAATGTCAAAAACTGAAGTTTGCCAAGAAAATATATAAACTTATAAACTACCAACAGTTGCCATGCATTATATTGAAATTTAATTATACTATAGGTATTCAGCAGGTCTTAAAATATTTTTTAATTAAAATTAAGGTAAAATAACAGATTTAAACTAAAATGTATGTATATTCAAATGCATGTGCAGAAAAATTTTGCACAAAAATTGTTTAAATATTTATATTAAAAAAAAATTTTTTTTTTCTTTTTGATACTTAAGAAAATTAAAAGTTTATTACTATGCATTTTTGACATATAAGGAACATATAACTAATATTTATAAGGAACTTACAAGTTATGTTGTATAAATACAAACTTGATACAAGTGTATGAAAAAAAATTTTAATGTTATACCGAATATCTTTATTATCCAGTATGTTAATTTGAATTTAAAAGTAGTTATATTTGTGAATAATGATAAATATAATTCATATTGTTTATTATATTTATTTATAATTATTACACTTATCATTTTAAAACAATTTTTATCTCTTAATTTTTTTTTCTCCACTTGTATTAAGAATACAAATAATGCATATCTTGAAAGCAAGAAGTAATTATTCAACAGCTGAATATTTAGATATTCAACAAAACTATATAGTATTCAGCAAAATGAAATTCACAAGTATTTGGATAAACTAAATTTTCAGCATAGTAAATGAATAGGCTGAATATACTGTAAATCGACACTAACTACTCTGTGTATTTAACAGAAAGCACTTAAATTTGTATTGTCTTATGTTAAAAAGATTATTAAGAAGATTTAAAAGAATATTAAAAAGATTTTTCTTTAAAAGAAGATGTCTAATGTACAAAACTGCTAATGTTTATCTTTAAAAATGTCTAATTTTTAGTATAATCTATACTATACACTAAATTTGGTTATAAATAAATTTCTTAATAATATCACTGCAGATTTTCAATAACACATGAAAATGAATACATAATATTACAAAAGATGTGAGCTTTCAAAAGTACAAGATTTTGGTTACTATTCAAAATATAAGTGTTTCTTCAAAATTTTAAATTTATTTTTTCTAGAACATATTTAGAAACACTATCCTTTATAAAAAATATATAAATTTTATGTATTAATTAAATTTCACATATGAATATAGGTTTTCGAGGTTTTTGACAGTGAGGTTTTTGACGTGACGGTTTAAACCATGGTTTAAACTGTCACATTTCAAAAACCTGCCAACCCTGTTCTTAATATTAAATACTGTTTATTTTTTTTAAAATTTAAATTAATGTTTGCAAAAAATTTATTTATTAGTTAATTGTAAATAGCAATTATTTCCTTTTGTTATCTTATTTAAGTCTTAAAAAATTTGTGTCGTTGTCACCAAATTCAGACTCAAAAATATAATCAGAGTGATTATATTCCTGGTGTATCCCGGAATTCCAGGTTTTTCGTATCATTCTTACGGGTCTAATAACTAGAAGCAGGGCATGTGATTTTTCTTCTTGCAGAATTCTGCATAGCTCAAGACCATTGGTTTGCAGACTTACCCAAATTAAAACTTACAATCCCAAAAAATTTCGAAATTTTTTCTAAATTCCATTAACGAGACATTTACGTAATTCTTCCGTCAATTTGATTCTATGGGGGATTTTTGCCAATTTGAATATTTGACACTGCATCGGAATCTGATAATATTGCAATTCTTATTATCACGATTTTAATAATCAAACATTTGATTTTTGTATTTCCCTGATTTTTAAGTTACACATTGTGACTCAATTAGCGCTAATTGAAAATCCCATATGGCGATTTGTATGTAAGCATTTTTAGAACCCATTGTCGATATTCATGTTCTCTCGGTTGTAATATCAAACATCGATTCTTGTACTTATATATCACTTAAAAGCTGCGCACCGCGATTTGTATTTATGTCATTTAAAAGTTATGCATCCTGATTCGTAATTACACGATTTAAAATTTCAGTATTGCAATTTTGTATTTTTGCAATCTAGTATCACGATTCCTGTTCATGCGATTTTAAAATCCAATAACAAGATATCCCCTGTAGGACCCCACCCTTTACTCCTTGTACTCGCAGACTCTCAGGACTATTTTTTATAGTTCCTTTTATATTTTTTGCATAATGTTTGTACTGTTTTAAGTTTGGAATTTTATTACCACAATAAAATGTGGAAGCCCATTTTCTGGCAAGGTAATTAAAAATTTCTCTGATTAGTTAGACTAGATTGATATAACTGGTGCGTTGTTAATTTTAGGTTTTTGATGTCATATGAATGGTTAACTGAATGTAAACTATAACAAACTTCCTAAAGCCAGAAGAAGTTTAGAAAACTTCAGGTGTATCCCTCCGCTTATGTTATGCTTATAAGGTGATGTGTGAACAGGTTTAATATTCTAGCAGGGTGTGTAGCATTTTTAAAAAGTGCTTATAGGTGCTTATTTTCGTTTTTTGAAAGCCCTTAAAGGCGCTTTTTTCATTGGGTGTTTTTAAGTGCTTAATTTTCCCTTTTTCAATATGAGATTTTCCTTTTACCTTGTTGATTTTCGCTTGGAATTATACAAAAAGACACAGTTCACATTGTTCTATTCAATGTTTTCACAATTAATTCGACCCCAAACTATTTTGGCGTATTGTCAGTCCGTTGCGTATCAGAACTCCTTTCGTTTTACATGATTCAAAATTTCAAGACAGTGATTCAAAAACAATGCCAGAAGNAAAATTTCATGATTTTTGACAATTGTCAAAAACAATGACAAAAGGTTTTTTTTTTTACATGATGGTTAAGACAAGATAAAACCGTCAATTGTCAAAAACTTTTCAACCCTCCCAAATTATGATATTTTTTTTGAAGTGCTTGAAAATATTTTTTGAGTGCTTAAAAGGTGCTTTTTTTGTTGAATAATTTGGCTACTCACCCTGTCTAGGAAGTTTTATTATCGTGATTTGTAATATTTTACCATTTGTCTTCTGTAATTTATAAATTCTAATAGGTCAGGTCTCTGTGGCAGAATTTTTTCGAGCTATCTGTGACAAAACTCTCTGCACTAATATTTTTCTGCACTATTCTCTAGCACTAATAATTTAACAAAAGCGCTGCGTTTACAAAAAAATGTAATTTTTTTCAATGGAATTTTTTTCGTAATTCAGGGATATGTAATTTTTTTTTAATTGAGCATGTAATTTATATTCTAATATTATAGGTAACATTTTCACATTTTGTTGGAAGGGGGGACGCGGACATTATTTCCTTCGTCTTTTGTAACTAATCATCACAATAGCAGTAACTGATAAAATTCGACAAAATTATTGCCTTTAAAAGTAAATACTCAAATACATCGGGATATTTAAAATCCATGTGAAAATCAATATCAATAACTGACGGAAATACAATCGAAACAATACATAAATTTACAATACTATTGGCATAAAAAATGATTATCTAAATGCATGATTCAAATATTACAGGTGAATTTCTGTCAAAAAATACTTTTTTTTTTACTTTTCAAAAGAAATATCTTTCTGCAAGAACTGTGTAACGTTTTGCCACAATGTCGCCATGTCGCTGCGATTCTGCCACGGGGTGTCAGGTGCCTAAAGCAAATTTACTTATTTGCATATATTTTGGGTTATATAGCACCATTGGTTATTTTTTAGGTAACGTCATAGCAAGCTTTCCAAATTCATTTGTTGTTTGTTTCGTTGAAAGAACATGTTATATTGTAAACAATGCAAGTAAAATAATATTGGATTTTACGCTTTTTCAAGTTTAGGTGTAAAAATCAGCTGGAAGTCTTCAGAGGAATTTTAACCCCATGTGCCATCTGCAGTTAGCTTTACATGGTCAGCCCACTGTTGTTATGAATAAAATTGTTTACTCCCGATTAGGGAGTATACCTAATTTAGAACCTAACCATAGAATATGATACAGGGGTTATATCTTTAACAAGTAAATGTTAACAAAATGAAATTTGTGTAGGTGTCTATTTTTATAACTGTTTAAATATTTTAAACTGCATAGTTTAAATATTTTTTTTTTATAAAGTTTGATAAAGGTGCAAATTAAGTATCCTCCAAATTTGTGTGCAATTTCAATAAAGGTGGAAATGATGTAAATTTCCCATCCTAGCTATTGTAAATTAAATGCAAAGTTTAAAGTAAGAAAATAATTTATCACTTTAAATGCCGGCAGATGGGAAGAGATTTATCAACCAGCAGCTTTTTTGAAATAGTTGAAAATATTTTTTTAAACAATTGCACATTTAAAACTTCTGAAATAATTGTATCAATAAAATGAACTCTGAGCAATATGAGTTATGGGTAAAATTATCATGTTATCAAAATTTTTTTTTATTCCGACATATTTGCTGTACATTCTTTTCCTCACCTTCTTAATTTCAATTTTCTAAGTAAATTTTTTTTTTTGTCATGTAAAACAAAATATAATATAAAGTTATTTAAGGAAGAAAAAAATTTGTGAGAACAACACTTGAAATTTCAATAACTTTAAAAAAATGTGTAGTTTTTAAAAAAAAAACCTGGTGTTGAGTTTATCAGTAAAAATGGTCCTTTACATACATCAAATTTCCAATTTGTAGTTGCATTTCAGCAGGCTACAGAATGGCTCATGGGGTATTTTTTTACTACATGTATAACAGATATTCTATTCATAACCTCATAA